GGAGCCGGAGCCTGGCGGGACTCTGCCCCGGCGCAAGCACGCATCTGCCTCCGGGTGAGGGCAGGCTGGGGTGCTGGAGCCGCTTTCCCAGTCACAGGGCGCGAAGTTGTGCCTTGACTGTGCCTTAACCCCCTCCGCCTTTTGAGAGCGTTCGTGCACCCTCCGGCTCCGGTGTTAGCGAGTCTTGAGGAAGTGCGAGCGTGTGGTCGGTTACCTATCGTGTCAGGCTGCCTTTCGGGGGGTCTAAGGAGTGGAAGAGGTGAGCACGTTATTTCTTACTCTCTTTCCCAGTCACAGGGCGCGAAGTTGTGCCTTGACTGTGCCTTAACCCCCTCCGCCTTTTGAGAGCGTTCGTGCACCCTCCGGCTCCGGTGTTAGCGAGTCTTGAGGAAGTGCGAGCGTGTGGTCGGTTACCTATCGTGTCAGGCTGCCTTTCGGGGGGTCTAAGGAGTGGAAGAGGTGAGCACGTTATTTCTTACTCTCTCAAGTCATTTAAATGTTGGCGTATGAACACCCGTCTCCAGTGATGAATTTCGCTCAGGAAGAGACAGGGAGGACACATTTCTGCTGAGACTTGTGCGGTTTCTTTACGGTGGTGTTTTTGACCGCATGTGGTATAAACACACACACTCAAAAAGAGAGTATTTTTTTTTCTTTCCTAAGTACGTTGGGAATGAGCTGTAATTGTCAGGGTAGTTTCCACGTCATACCACTTCCTAATGGCTTACCTCAGGAATTGTGAGGTCTGATTTTATTTGTAGCAATTGGAATTGGGGCAAGTTTATATCTTGACCCCAAAATGTTATGAATAAGGGGCATATAATTCCAGAAGTAGTGCTAAGCGTGAACAGAAATGCTAGGGCCTGAATACAGTTTTCTCTCACTTCTGAACGCGCTTCACATTCAGCAGTCAGTATAGCTTGCCGGGCAGCACGTGAAGAGTTTAGTTTTCATAAAATCACGTTTCCCATCACATACCCTCCAACAACCTCATGCTTGTTTGAAAGCTAATGTTTGCTATAGGAAGTTAAGCCCTGCTCTGCCATTGTAGCAATACTGTGAAAGCTGAAAGTTGCTTAAGGGTGAAAATTGTCTTCATTTCAGTCACTTAGTTTTTGTAACAGTCAAATACTGTAGCATATATATAGTAGCTACAGTGGTTTTCAAAATGCCGTTATAACCACATCGAGACAGGTTTTGACTCTTCTATACTGTTAAAGATAAATGCGAGCTTTATAATGGCAGGCAGAACTGACTTTGTAAGGGTCTCTTATTACAACGTTTGACACTACTGCTTTCGAGATAAACCTTCGTTCGGTTGCTTGGAAATCAGGAACTCGCACAGTGTTAGTTGTGGGATTGGTTCATTGGGTTCATTTACATCTCTTAATTTCTGAAAATGCTGTGCCCGTGAAAACAAACAGAACAATTTAAAAGTAACATTTGAATGTTTTAATTTTGCTGCTTATAAATTATTCTTCTTAGGGATCTTAATGGAAATAACATCACAAGAATCACCAAGACCGACTTTGCTGGTCTAAGGCACCTTCGAGTTCTGTAAGTTTTCTTTTCCTATCACTGATACCTTTTAGGACTGATCCTACAGTTTGCTATAAAAACCATTAAATTAGTTTTGTTTCAGTTTGTAAGGGTTATCACTTTTTAACTGTTGTGCTACTCTATCTGAACTTACAGCCCCTCCCCCATGTGTCATACACCGATACGGATAAGTTAGCGATTGCCTTAAATTTCATTTGTTTAAATTTTTGTTAAACTCTCCTTAAGGTTATGAGATAACTTGAGGATTTAATTTGGCATGTAGCTTACAAGCGAGAGTTGCTAAAATGGGTTGAGTAACTGTTGGAGTGACTTCAGTTTAAGGTTAGGAAATTTATAGTTCACACTGAAAATGGGTACTCTCAACCTGCAGTATAAGGGGATTCATTAAGGCAAAAAGTTACTCCTTTACTGAATTTAAAAGCAAGTCCCAGGTGATGATTATTGCTTTTCTACGGTTTCTGGGCAAAAAGGAAACACTTTAACAAGGAGTTTGGGGAAAGAATGATTTGCTTTGGGTTTTTTTGTAAATGCTTTTGTTTTAAGCATTATGAAGCTTTTAAAATTCTGCCGGGTTTTGGGGTTTTTTGGGGAAAATCTAACTAATACCAAGTTTAAAAAATACTGCAGGATTTACTTAGCTTATTTGTTAAGGCTATTTAATTTGAGCAAGTAGTCATATAAAATCCTTTTCTGTTTCTCGCTGAAACAGAATATCATGTTGTAGTAATTTTTAATTTTTTTACAAAACAAACTACTGTTACGATTACAATCTCTGTGCAGTCTTTCACTGATGTTTTTTCCCAACACCACAGTTCAGTATTTTTGTTTTGTTATTCTCATAAGAGACTACTACTGCTTTCGCACTGTTCAACTGTAGTCTTATAAGTTGCCGAAGAGCAGTGATGTATGTGCATGCGTGCACACAGCGTATATGCTTATCTGTAACTTTTTAACTTGGGACTCTTAAAGTAAATGAGCAAATGTAATGCCTATTTCTGTTTCTTTTACCGAGGATTATTTTTCCCCTTTTGGGTAGATGAGCCCATGTAAAGTGTTGATGGCAGGGGTCTGGAAGGTTAAAGTGGATGTCACTCCAGAATAACTGTTGTACTGCTTTAATGAGTATGTGGTTGCCTTTAAATGACTACTGTTAATGCAACAAGTTATCTCGGAGCTATTAAAACTTAGACAGAAATTTCTCTATTTCAGTCAGCTCATGGAAAACAAGATTAGTACTATCGAGAGAGGAGCATTCCAGGATTTAAAAGAACTGGAGAGGCTGTAAGTATTTTTAATTCTAAATGTATGAGGTTTTTTCTTTTTATCAAATCAGTTGTGTGTTAAGGTACTCAAACCTCTGGGGGTTTTTTAATTATTTTTTTAAACTTGAGACATCTATCCTGATTGAGACACAAGAGAAGTAAGAAATTCTCAAGTGTGGTATGTATGGGATTCGGACGGGGGGAGCTTTCATGAGCAGTCTGGATTTGACATGTAAACCGCAATTGTCTTGTAGGAAATAGCTCGAATACTATCAAATATTTTCCCTTGAATACGCAAGGACTTTTTCAAATGTGAATGCACCTAAAAAAGCCTGTTCTCTGAGGTACAAGTGTTAGTTGTTAGTCTTGGAGATGTTGGATGTTTTATACAGAGTCGTATTGGAAGTAACTACTAGTTATGCAGTGTTTTGTTACATACTATGAAAGCAATGATTGAATTCTACTCCAGTTTTTAGGATTAAAGTTTTTACAAAGGCTTAGAAAAAATATGAACTGTTAGCTTTCAAAAATTAGTTGGATTTGGGCTTTAAAAAAAAAAAGGTTGAGTACCATGGGTATGAGAGGATCTTGTCTGGTGGAGTTGAAGTGCAAACACCTGCTTGCTTGCGGTAGGACATAGAAAATGAGAAATTCCCAAACTGGTTTAGCTTTTTATAATAGCTGCTTAATTTTCAGTATCTGCTTTTTTATTTTGCTGCATTTCTTCAAATTAAAATATTTTTTTAAAATATATTGTTCAACTTAGGACATCTGACTCGTTAAAGGCAAGATACTGATTGTTGGATATAGTTTCAGTTTGGAGCTAGGAGAGTCTATGAATGCCGCTGTATTAATGTACATTCACGTAGAACTGAGAGTAGCGTCTTCGTTATCATGTATCTTAGTTACTGCATTTTCATTATATCAGCTTTCCTTTAAGCATGCCTCTGAGGTCTTCTTTAGTTTTTCATTTGCTGCTGCTTTAACTTCATAAAGGTATTTCTACTTTATTCCACTGGAAAGCAACATTGGCCTAAACATTGTTTGTCTTACAGTTGTGTTCTGTATCCACAGCTGCTGTGTGTTTAAAAGAAAAAAACCACAAACTGTTCTGGTTTGGTTGGTCACACAGACAAAGCAATTCAAGAGACTCAGTAACCACCAGCGTAATCATGATATTCCTATACTAGTTGGAATATCATGTACTTGAGATAATTACCTCATTTTTTCAAATAAACCAAAGTAACTTTTTGACCTAAAAATTGAAAGTGTCATCATAGTGCAACTGTTTTTGAACACTTCTTAATGAGATTGATTGCTCTTAGAAATGCATAGTCAGAGGTTTGTTTTTTTTTTTTTCAAAATCTTATTGAAACAGAATTAATGCAATGCTTTTTTACAATGTGTTTTAAACTTTGTACAAAGTATAGGGGTTTAGTACAGCTTCTCCTGCTGAGGGTTATATTGGAATAATATATACACATTCCTAAATTTGGCTTATAGGGTCTAGCTAGAAGATTAAACATCAGTGTAGTTCATGTTGCAAAAATAAGTACAGATATGTGAAACATTAATAAACATTAAAAGACCCATGCTTTCACTGTGAATGTGGTTTGACACTGAGATACCAAATACTTGCTAGGCTATAAAACAGTATATAGCCAACTTTATTTCTTGATTATCTTAAAGTAATATCCTGCTATGTGATTTGTTAACAACGTTTCAAATAATATTTTAACTTAGGCATAATTTTGAGGCATTTAATTGTGCTATTTCTGAAATACAGAACAGTAATACTAAACTCCAGAACTTTACTAGTTAAAACTTGCTTGTCTACAATGTTCACATTTTGCCATTTCATTTTTTTTTTTGTTTCTCTTGATAAATCTGTAAAATCTTGGAAAACAGTAGATATTTTCCAGTTCTTATATAAGATACTAGTTCTGAAGAAAAATTCTGATAATTGTGGCTACTTTTGTGGGTTATTTTTGTTGCCTTTTCAGAGGCAAACTATGACATTTGAAAGTTTAGTCATTTAGACCCACAAAGTTAGGTTCTGTTTCGTCTTCGGAATTATTTTGCATCTGCTCCAGTACTTGTCAGTTTCTTTAATTTGCTGGTATTCAGTCAGTCTTAGGTGTGTGGGTGACTTGTAATTTGAATATATATGCAGGATGTCTTTAAACTGTCCCAGCTGTTGGCTAAGAGCAAATATTTCATATTTGTGAGGGAAAAGCTGAGACAATTCTCCTTGTTTACAACTGCCAAGTCCATCTGATGAAGGCGCATTGTTATCTGACAGCCAATTCATCTCCTTGGGATTCTGAAATTCAAAACAATTTTTCAGGAAACTTGTGGTTACTTCCTTCAAGCATTTTCTTTTATACATTGAATAGCAAGCACTTGAAAGCTTTTTTGTTGTTTTTTTTAATGTGTAAGTGTAGGATGTCACATTTCCACTGTAAGTGCAATGTGCCAAGCTACTGTCAAAGAATACCTGATGCAGTCCTTTTAGCATGCCAATGGAAGGTATAAGTGAATCTTGCTGCAACTTAAGTGAACTCAATTTGCTTTATAAGATTGTTTACATGTAATATTTCTTATGTTGGAATATCTTGTGCTAGGACGTATAGGCTGAATTTTAAAATGTGTTTCCTGTAGTTCAGTACTCTCTTTAATGTGAAGAACAGACTTTCACAGTAGTTTCCCTTTGGGGAAAAAAAATACATTGATCTCTCTAGGTTAAGTGATGCTTTTGGGTTTTTTGGTTTTTTGCACTGGAATTTTGGTTACAAAATCACTTCTTTTTAGACCAATTAACCTGATTTTGAAGGAACTGTTTGGTTGATCAGTGGCTTACTCGTTGTGAATACTCATTTGTAGATCTGATCATGTAAAATGCTGAGTATCCTCAACTCCAAGTGGGAACTGAAGACCTGAAGCACTTTGCAAAATTAATATTGGAGAAGAAACTCTCAACCTTCTCTCCAGAAGAAAACTACTTAAAATATGATTTGATTAAATCTGTGTATACCTCTTTCAGGTGGATATAAATGTTTCTCCTGTAGTTTAGTTAAACAACAACAAATCTGTAGTACACTAGGTATAAGTAGTGGTATGTACATAAAGCTATTTAGACCTAGTATGCTGCATAACAGGAATTGGTGTCACACCAGTGTAATTGCAGAAGTGCAGTGGAAACCAAACCCACAATAAATAGTGCATTAACAAGTGATTCTTACTACAGCAGCCCTGCTGTAATTTTAAAGTAAAAATGTTCAGTTAGCAATAAATGATTGTACAGTAGTACCTACTACTTAAGAACTGGGAGGGAAAACAAGATGGAAACTAGGAACTTAATCAGCTGGGTTTTAGGTTTCTGGAAACTTCAGTTGCTGGAGAGACCCTGGTGAAGGTGATTTTGCTATAAGCCTTTTAGTTGGGTACTTCTCTGAGAAGTCTGGTCAGATAAATGGGTATACACCTCACTCTTCACTTAGTTACGTTCTCTGACAGTCTTGTCTGAAGGCTCAGCTCTTAAGAGGGTACAAGCTCTGGTCCAAACCAGTTTGGTACAACACTGCCTGAACTAGTAAGTCTGCCATGAATGTGTCTTACTTCACAGCCTGTACCTTGAATGGCTGAATCGCATGGTCTGTTCTGTTGTGTAGATGCTCTGTCTGCTGAAATAACCCTCTTTGAACCTCAATACACACCTGTTTTTAAATCAGTGGGACAGCTTGTACCTTTGTGTACATCCTGAAGCAGTGTCAAAAAGTCTTGGGATTAATTACAATCTTGTCTGTCCTTTATTTAATATCTGCAAGACTTTCTATATCAGCTAGTAACCTGTATTATGAGCCCATGTTCCTGTGAGTAGGGCCTCTAAAGAGTATACAGCAGTTCAGTATGTGGCAGCTCCCATAACAGGTCACATCCCAATCCTTTATGTTGTCTGAACCTCTCTTACATAGACCACAGTAATGTATTGGTGGTGGGTTTTAGTGTGCTTCATGGAAGGAAGGCACAAAGGGTCAGGGTATGGAGAATTTCCACAAAACTTAAGAATTTGCAGAGACCACTGCTCATTGTGGGAGACAAAACCTTTTGAAATGATTCCTTATGAGAATGTGAAATGAAACACTTGTTTCATCTTTCTCTAGAAAGCTGTCATCTTGAGTGGGATGTTTATAATAGTTTGAAATTGTCTCTTAAGAAAACAAGATAAACTGAAAATCTCAACTTTCCGAAAACTAACACTATTATTAAACACAGCTTTAAAAATGACTTTTAACAAGTGTAGTCAATATTTTTCCCCAAGATCACCTTTTTTCCGTGGTGTTGCAGCTACTGCTCAAAGTATCCCAGTGGTTTTTACAAGCTATTGTCATCTGGAGGGAAGTATAAAATTTGGTTGAAGACAGCTGCTATAGGCTGTTGAACCAGTTCTATTATAAGTTACTTAAGTCTAAAATTTCCTTACAGTTCTTTGTAATCCAGAAATACAATGTAGTCAGGTTGCGAGGGCTAAATATACGCTTCACTTGTTTACGTAGCAGAGCAGTTACCTTTTCATTTAGGAAAAAATGTTTTTTGACTGATAGGAACATGGCTTTTAATCATAATTTTTTCCCTGTAATTTTTCTGTGTCTAGTAGTCGAGATGCCAGCTATGATCATTCTAAGGCTATGTTAAACATCCAAAAGGTGTCAAGATAGGAAGAGTTTACAGCAATCATTTGAAAACTACCCACATTTTTCTTCCTGTATGTGTGAATAATCCATTGAGGCAGCAGTATGCCCCTAAAATGCTAATTTGGAGTCTGATTCTGCAGACATTTACCACGTGAATAACTTGGTTTGCATGAGTAGTCCCACTGATTACGCTTGTGAGAAAGGTTACTTGTGTGGCCTAAAAAGTTTCCAGGCCAAGTCTCTACTCTTTTGATACTTGAATTGATAGGAGTTATTTATAAAATGTCCATTTATTATCTTAATAGTTCTAAAGAGCATCTGTGTA